GTATCCGCTATTTTATCCATCCAAGTGTTGGTTTTTCCAATGTTGTTGTTACTGAAAGTTTTACCGTGAAAAAGTGCTGAGGCAGCATGCATATTTTCCAGACATGCAATAATGCACTGTTTGTATTTGAAGGTACATTTTGAGACCGCAAAGTTCTAATTGATTAGTGTTGTTGCAAAACCTTAAATTGATTAAATTCAAGATTCATGTTTCAAAGTTTTAAGTGTATTTTATGTGCATTTCTGTACATCTTGTCTGACTGGCTACAATCTTCAGTGTTGTATTTGAAGCTACAACATTTTATCGTGATTAAATTTAAGCTTTGTGTTTCAAAGTTTCAAGTTTATTTTATGGTACAGTGTATGCCCATCTTGCCTGACTGGCTACAAAATGAAGCCTCCTGTATCGGTTGGAATTGAGGGGTTATCTGTCAAAGGTGGGTGGGTCACATGAAACTTTCATTATTGCACTGACATGTGATTCCCCTTTGATTACCGGTATGTTATTTGAATTACTTTCAAGAAAAGTAATCTTGTAGTGTTGGCGGATCTAAGATAAAGTATTGCGATGTCTGATTTGGATATAGGCATGTAAGAGCATTCCTGAGAATTGCACAAACGACTTACATCTTTCCTGCACTACTCAAACTAATTTTTAGATTCTTTTTAAAGTCCATAAACTTAAAATAATTTACAATGTCATTAAACAGCCATTCTACGGACTCCCGCACTGTAATCATAGACTGGTTGAAAGCAATCATTGGGGCAGTAAGGGCTCTATTTCGGAATGGCGTCTGTAAGTAAATTCTATGAGGGTACATTTTGCTTGTACGGCGATCCGGCATGCTGCCAGCTGGTGAATTTGCAAAGCGTTGCAGGTCTTGAAGAAGTCCTGAATCAGCTAGCATTCCAGCATCGTGTTTACGACCCTCTGAAACAGTAAAACGAAGTAAAAAATTCGTAAGGAACTAAAAATGCTTCTTGTACAGGTTTGTCACACAAGCCTCTCACTCTTTACCCCTGACACTCTTCCAATATTTCTTGTTAAAAACATAGTGAAATTGAAATCGCCCACTCTCTCTTTGTACAAACCCTCCCCGCAAAACTTATCCACTGGACCAAATAGGTTACCAATTAAACCATTGGGTAGAGCCACACACTGGAATTGTAGAGCGTGAACCCTCTTATGGCCGTTGTAGATGACTCTTTGGTGCTCTCCTGGTCTGCATACGGGTCGAACGGTCCCATCAACGAACCCAAAACAATTATGTAAAGCAGCTCCTTTGCCGGAAATAACGCTACTGTAAGTCTGTAATGCAGCTGGATTAAGCGCATTGTGGTTCCACTGTGTTATACGATGTCTGTGAGTGTTATATATAAAATCCAAGACGTCATTACTGACCATACTGAGAACTGGTACTGGCAGTCCGAATCGAGAAATCATGTCACTGTATCTGCATGGATAACTTAATCTTCTAAGAAGAATACAGAGACCTTCCATTCCGTCAACAACACCTCTTTGATAGCATCTGAAGCTATCAGGTATTTGAAGAACCTCTGAGAGAATTCGCAAGTCGTGCTTTCTAAGTCTAAACTTTGCCAAGCACTCGGCATCGTTCATCTCATCGAGGGAAAACCTGTCGTATTCCTCGTACGAGAAATTGGGATTTTTCGGCATAAATTGCTCGTGTAGTAGCAAAAACTCATCTTCGTCTAGAATACCGTCCTCATAACTCAAAAGAAGTTGCTCTTGGACCTCGTGAAAAGAAGACATGATAAAATTATTGGACTGTTTCTCGATTTTCACGATAAATGAGCGCTGTTTTGTTTACATGTCCTAGTCCACGTTCAAGTGCGCGCTTAACATTTTAGTTTTCCCGCTGTGAACGACGTCCTCGGCCTAGTCCCTCAGCAACTCTACTTGTCATCGTCGTCCAATTCGTCGTCGTTGCTTAAGGTCCCTAATAATCCGTGATGTCACTGGCCGATGAAAAATGGTTTTAGACCTGCTGAGAGAGGGGTTGGCAACTGTTTGTTTTGTGGCTAAAATGAAACAGCATCCATAAATATGGAGTTATTTTGGATGCAAACATAAATTGGAAGTCGGAAATATCACAAGTTACAAATACAGTTGCAAAGTCAATCGGTATCATATTGAAGTGCAGTTTCTTTATTCCTAAAAAGTCTCTATGCATGCTAAAAGTGTCCTTAAGCGATTATGTCATGTTGCCATGGCGCTGAAAAACTCAGTTCTAAACAAACTCACATTTCAATCAAAATGGCGACGCTATCTATTGCATCGCTGCTTTCTTTCCTTTCAGACGAAAACAAATCAATAAAAAAGGAGAAACCACTTTAATTCTGATCATGTGGAAGCATTTAGTTACCAGCAAGGAGTTTTGCAAGGAGAAGTGCACACAAATACGAAAAAAAAGGTTTATAAAGTTTATACTGTCAAATCAAGCAGTTTCAGAGCTATTTCCTCCACCAAAACGGAACCCGACACCAGCCGATCATTTCACGTTGTATGAAGATCTAAAGGAAGATGGAAAGTTTACTGGACTCTGCTGGCTGCTCATCCCTGAGCCACCTGTTGCTAACAAGCTGCCTATGCCTTCCATCAAGGAAATTATTTTCTTAATTTCTTCAAGCTAGAGGGAGTCAAGGACAGCTGGATTGCTTGGGTCACCGTTCAAAATTAGATGAACATAAAGTCGCAAAGATTAGCCAGTTAACTGTGGGCCAAAGAGACAATAGCCTGCGAAAGCATCCGTTTCTTCTAGCTCTTCACCACTGGGGACCAATACTAATGCAGTTGCTACTGAGCTCCTTCGAAAGATACCATGGTATCTTGCTCATTGGTTTGACTTCCTTTCGACCACGCGCGTGTTGAGTGCGAAACAACCTTCTGATAAATACCCGTTCTGCTGTCGTATCTGCAAAAAGCTCTTGGTGAAACGAGAAAATCAAGTGGTAAACCTCTCAAAAGTAGAGAACTATATCCGCCTACGGAGAGGTTCTTCAGCCAGACGTACAGATGTAACCTGTTCCACTCCTGCACATCCTTCGAATCCTTTTACCTGCACCATCTCTCCGCTAGCGTTCCCTACCACTTGTACTTCTTCCAGCAGTGATGATCAAGTTGCCACAGATCACGAGTATCACAAAGAAGCTCACAAAATTGAATCTCAAGTACCTCCAAGGCTTAATATTTTATTCGGTAACCTGTTTGCTGTATTCATTTAACTTAAGCTTTATTTAGCGAAACATTGACTCTAGATCTCATCATTGATCTTAACATTTTATCAATTTTAAAACATGTATCGAAATTATAGCTTGCTTTGTTAAAATCTTTCGCCCACAAAGTAAAGTTAAAGTAGGAGTGAAAGGGGTAATGTAATTATAGAAATTTAAATCCTTGCGCTTTGTTANATATGGAGTTATTTTGGATGCAAACATAAATTGGAAGTCGGAAATATCACAAGTTACAAATACAGTTGCAAAGTCAATCGGTATCATATTGAAGTGCAGTTTCTTTATTCCTAAAAAGTCTCTATGCATGCTAAAAGTGTCCTTAAGCGATTATGTCATGTTGCCATGGCGCTGAAAAACTCAGTTCTAAACAAACTCACATTTCAATCAAAATGGCGACGCTATCTATTGCATCGCTGCTTTCTTTCCTTTCAGACGAAAACAAATCAATAAAAAAGGAGAAACCACTTTAATTCTGATCATGTGGAAGCATTTAGTTACCAGCAAGGAGTTTTGCAAGGAGAAGTGCACACAAATACGAAAAAAAAGGTTTATAAAGTTTATACTGTCAAATCAAGCAGTTTCAGAGCTATTTCCTCCACCAAAACGGAACCCGACACCAGCCGATCATTTCACGTTGTATGAAGATCTAAAGGAAGATGGAAAGTTTACTGGACTCTGCTGGCTGCTCATCCCTGAGCCACCTGTTGCTAACAAGCTGCCTATGCCTTCCATCAAGGAAATTATTTTCTTAATTTCTTCAAGCTAGAGGGAGTCAAGGACAGCTGGATTGCTTGGGTCACCGTTCAAAATTAGATGAACATAAAGTCGCAAAGATTAGCCAGTTAACTGTGGGCCAAAGAGACAATAGCCTGCGAAAGCATCCGTTTCTTCTAGCTCTTCACCACTGGGGACCAATACTAATGCAGTTGCTACTGAGCTCCTTCGAAAGATACCATGGTATCTTGCTCATTGGTTTGACTTCCTTTCGACCACGCGCGTGTTGAGTGCGAAACAACCTTCTGATAAATACCCGTTCTGCTGTCGTATCTGCAAAAAGCTCTTGGTGAAACGAGAAAATCAAGTGGTAAACCTCTCAAAAGTAGAGAACTATATCCGCCTACGGAGAGGTTCTTCAGCCAGACGTACAGATGTAACCTGTTCCACTCCTGCACATCCTTCGAATCCTTTTACCTGCACCATCTCTCCGCTAGCGTTCCCTACCACTTGTACTTCTTCCAGCAGTGATGATCAAGTTGCCACAGATCACGAGTATCACAAAGAAGCTCACAAAATTGAATCTCAAGTACCTCCAAGGCTTAATATTTTATTCGGTAACCTGTTTGCTGTATTCATTTAACTTAAGCTTTATTTAGCGAAACATTGACTCTAGATCTCATCATTGATCTTAACATTTTATCAATTTTAAAACATGTATCGAAATTATAGCTTGCTTTGTTAAAATCTTTCGCCCACAAAGTAAAGTTAAAGTAGGAGTGAAAGGGGTAATGTAATTATAGAAATTTAAATCCTTGCGCTTTGTTATTGTACAAATGCTTCCCTAGATAGACTCTCCAGATGAAATATAAACAGTTCTCTCGCATGTCTTTTTTGACTATAAGATTACTATAGGAATCAATGCCAACCATGTCTAAAACTCCAAATTTTTATTAGCAATGCAAATACATATTATTTAAAATGAAAGTATTTATTTCAAATGTACTTTGCAACACATTAGAGAAAAACTAA